AGGCGGGAGGATTGAGAGATGGTGCAGCCACTTTGAAAACGAGATCCAGAAGGATAAGCATGCTACCACATTTCAACTCTTCAGTAATTAAGCACCCAAGATAAATATTTTTAAATTCCTCATGCACAATTGTTCACTTCTGTATTATTATAATATCCAAAAGGTGCAAACAATCCAAGTGTGCATCTAGTGATGAATGAAAAAAACAAATACACTATTTAAATACAATTAGATAATTCATTCATCCATAAAAAGGAGAATTCTGATACATATTATCACATAGATGTGTTATTAAAACATTATTTTAAGCAGAAGAAACTAGATACAAAAACTGGCCTGTTTTAAGATTTCATTTACATGAAGTGTTCAGAACAGACAAATTTGTAGAGACCTAAAGTAGATGACTGGTTTCCAGGGACTGGAGAAAGAGAAATTGGGGTGTGACTTGTAATGGATATGAGATTTGGAGGAATGTCAAAGAAATTCCAAAATAGGAGTAATGAAGAATCTCCTGACTATATTAAAAATTATTAAGTCACATTTTTAAAAGGCTGAAATTTATAGGATATCTCAAAGCTATTGTTTAAATATTCACAACTCCATATCAACTTCTGCAGCTATCACTGAAAAGGACATACCAAGTGTTGGTGAGGATGTGGAGAAAATGCTTGGTATATTGTGAACTGGTGCAGCTATTTGCAAAATGATTTCATAGTTATTCAAAATGTTAAAGAAAATTACCTCATGACCAAGCAATACTGCATCTAGGTATATACCCCAGAGAAAAGTAAACATATTGTTAGATAAAAAGGTGGCAGGGGTCGGGATCACCTTGAAACAGAAACAAAGAGGACTCTGGCAAAGTGAGAGTTTAATTGGGTTTGGCTGGGCTGGTCCTCAACTCGGGTGTAAGGAAGAACCGGCAGTCTAATGGCTGCAGAGGGGTGGCTTATAAAGGGAAAGAATGCGGAAAAAGAGAATATTTTTCCGTTGTTTGGGACTGTTTTGGAGCTGCTTGCTCATGGAGGGCGTGGTGTCTGTACCTGGTGAAACTTATGGAGGAACACATCTGCTGTAAAACATATTTTCTACACTGACAGGGTTCCAGGAATTAATTGCAGCTAAGGGCTTGGGAAACCTGTTTGTCAGCCTGTGGAGCATGCTCTGGTGATCACAATAGATTGGTCATTAATTCCCTGAGCTGTTTTTGTTAACTTGAGGGTGGCTGGGAGTTGGTTGACTCAGCTCCTCTTAGGAGCCTCATGATTTCTGGGTCTGGGGTCACCTGGATCTGTACCCTATCACATATGTTCCTACAAAAAATGTACACAATGTATATACAGCAGTATACATACAGCTTGAAACTAGAAATTCTGCAAATATCCATCAGTTGATGAGTGACATAAATATGGCATGTCCACACGACAGAATAAATGTCATGCAAGATTCAGTAGTAAGCAGCAAAGCACTCTGTGAAAGTATTCTGGAGAATGCATGACAAAAACTAGTACATATTTTGTTACTATTTTAAATCATACATGCTCTCTATATGTATATTTATATATATATATATCAATGAATATTTACATCAGTAATTTGCATGATAAGCATATACATGTATGTATGCATTTTTACATTTACACAGTATATATTTTGTTTTTCTTTATTTCTAACACTAATAAAAGCAATACCAGTAAGAACTGATAATAATGTGAGTAAATGCTTTTACTGCTAGATTGTCAAGGTCACCAGAGGAATAAAGCCAGCCGGGATGTTGTCAAACAGCCAGTAAGGGCTGCGATATTAAATGATGGCTTTATAGACTTGGCCCTAGGCAAGTAAAAGCTGAAAATAAAGTCTCCAGAAAAGGAAAAATTCATGACCCAAAATGATAAGAGATGAACAAAAACAATCTGTATATTTTATTTTAATGTGTTGAAAACTTTAAGCCACAGTTCTAAGGAACTTTTAAGAAAACTAAAGACTAATTGTCAACAGTCAATTACAGAATATTGATTCATTTCCAAAAACCAGCTGAAGTAAAAAGAATGTTTGAAACTGTATGGTTCCAGTAGTTGAAAGAATATAAAAACTATAAAAGAAATATCTTACAGGATCTTTTCAGTCTAACCCATCACCTCCTATTGATTTATAAACATCTCATTTCACCTAATGATGTGATAGTGGTCTGCCTAAAATGATACTTCATTCATGCTCAAAAGATTTTGTTGGTCAATAGTTTTTGCAATTGTCCTTCTTAATGACATACAGTTTCTTGTACGTAAGGAAGAGGGGGAAGAAAGATACGAGCATCTAAGCATAATTGCGGGTTTTTTTTTTTTTTTTTCATTTTCCAGGTGTGTGTGTGATTTGCATGTGTATGTATGCACCGTTTTTGCATGTGTGGGCACACTTATGTGCATGTGCTCAGAGAGGCCTGAGGTTAATGTTGGGAAACATCCTTGATTACTCTTGCACCACATTCATTGAGGCAGGACCTCTCAATCAAACCCAGAGCTCATTGATTTGGCTAGTCTTGCTAGCCAGCTTGTTCTGGGGGTCCCCGTCTCAGCCTTCTGACGCTGGACTTACAAGTGAGCCACTCCACCCAGCCAGTATTTACAGTGGTTTCTGGAGATCCAAACTCCAGTTCTAAAGTGCACAGCAAGCACTTTAGCCACTATGTCATCGCCCCAGCCCAGTAATTACATCGTTATATTCAAAGCATAAAGCAAGAAGTAAACAAGGGCTGGACATTTACACAAGGAAGTTAAATACATTAGTACTGATCCCTGTGTTGGCCATGAGAAAAAAAAAAAAAAAAAAAAAAACACAAGGCAACCCTAATACCCTAATATCTATTCCTTCTTTGACTATTTATAGCTATTCGATCTACTAGAATTCTAAGTCTGAAATTCAACAATCAAGGCTGGTAACCACAGGGTGGTCTTTTAGACCACTTACTGATGAAATATCTGTGGTTTGTTTGGGTTTTTTTTTTTTTTTTATCTTTTTGAGACAGGGTCTCCCTGTAGCCCCAGCTCTCCTGGAACTCACTATGTAGACCAGGCTGGCCTTGAACTCACAGAGATCTGCCTGCCTCTGCTTCCCAAGTGCTGGGACTAAAGGCGTGCACCACCACATCCTGCATATCTGTGTTTTTATTTCAGGTATCCACTTTTATTACCTCTGCTGGAACAGAAGTAAGTGGCTCAAAAAGTTTTCAATGCTGTTTTAGAGGAACAAGTTTACCTCCTAATACCCAAATTTATATATGTTGTATTGTTTCTTAAACAGTAAGTTAATGATGACCTAATTAGCCTTTTGATTAATTGTGAACAAACTGACCTAGAAAGTAATTTCACTTTTATTTAAAATGATGACAAGAAGAATTCTTTAAAATGATGACAAGAAGAATTCTAACACTGCAAAGGCAATTTATTGTTACATCAGACATGGACAAAATTTAGCCACTATTTAGGCCTTGCAAGAACACACATTATTTGTTCCAACACAGAAACAAACAGCACACAAATTCTTGGGAAGGCTTTTGGGGGGTTTTTGTAGTCATTTCCTGGTGGTTCAGACAGTGTCTTACTGTGTATCCCAGGCTTTCAGCCCTTCGACCTCAGCCACCTGAAGGCTGGGATTACAGCCAGGCAATATCAACCAACCACATCCAGTTCTTTTTGTTTTTAGGTCTTTTATGAAGTATTAAGTTTGACTAGTGCCCAGTTCTATTTTTTCAGCAAAAGACAAAAAAAATCCTGAATGTTTCTACAAAAATGATAAGGTATTTGGCAATTTCTCCATTTCGTTTGGTGGAAAGAGTTCCTACAACTTCCTCCAAGGCCAGTGCAATGCAGTTTAAGGTATCTGTGGGTGGATTCAGCACAAGCCCACATCTAACATCTCCATAGTGCCTGTTGTGACCCAGCTACTGAATGTTTGCAGCATTCTTCTGCTTTGGGCATCTGGAGTCTAGAATGGATAGACAATTTTTACAAGATTAAACATGCGGCAGCTTTTACTCCCAGGATCTGCTCCTCCTCTGCTGTATAAATGAACTGCATTTCTCCTATTCAGTTTGAATGCTTGGGACCAGAAGTATTTGGGGTTTCAGATGTTTTTCAGATTTTGGATTAGTTGCATGTATACAATGCACTATCTTAGAATTAGAACCTAATCAAAACAGGTAATTCATTTGTTTCACATATGCCTACAACAGCCCAAAGGTAATCTGATACAGCAATTTTTTTATTGTGACCTGTCACATGTCAGGAGTGAATTTTCCTCTTGTGGAATTACATAGGTACTTTAAATTTTCTGGACTGTAGAGCATTGAGGATTATGTTATTAGTAAATATGGTCCATTCTTTATTGCCTCTATCCACTGTATTTTCTTTTTTTTCCACAACTGCCCTAATTGCTTAGGAAGGCCACAGTCCCTCCTTCCATGACCCATCAAATTTGTCCCTGCCTTTCTAACACATCACATAGGACACTTGCTAGCTTACATGTTCTCTAAGGACAAAATTTCTTAATTATTTACTGCTCTACCCAGGACAGGACCTGTTATCTAATAAGCGTGCAGTAAATATCTGCTAAGTTAAATGGAGCAGGATCCAAGCAGAAGTGATCTGCAAGCACAGCCTCTATCATCTAGTAACTGAAGTGGTGGTTCCCAATCTCTGATGCACATTACAGTCATCCACGTCACTCTTAAAACTGATACTTCTGGATGCTTCTGGCTTACCCCACGTATTCGCCTTCATTGGCATGCTTTTCTTTCCAGTTATTGTTACTGTTGTCTAGGAAATAAGGATATACAGAGTAAACAGGTGGCTATTCAGTCCTTCCAAACAGCCAGTGAGAGCAGTATATGGATAAACTGGGACTTGTCAAAATTCCAGGAATGAGTCTAGGGTATAGAAAGGGCAGTCACTGGGGGCCAGGATGTCGATGGCCCTCATCTGCAGCACAGTAACAGCCTTTACTCATCCCTCGCATCAAGTAACAGGTGCACAACATGGATCTTGATATTTCAGACTTTGTGAAATTTGCATTTAATCTTTGCAAGTCATCTCTTTGGTGACTTTAAGGGTTTTAAAGTACCCTTTTTCTCTGCTTTCCTCTAGAATAGAATCTCCAAAAGTAACGACTGCCCTTGGTGAGTACCTTGGAGTGGGCAACTGCATGGCTTCTTTCAGAGGGAAAACAAAAACAAAGGAACTGCAGACTGAAACTGAGAAGAAGCACCAATAGCTCAAGCCTCAGGTGGTCATGAAACGTGGAGTTAACCTCATAGACTATAGGATTCCTCCTAATGACGAGGGGAAAGTTTACACATGACTAGTTCTCTTTTCTTTTCTTCTCTTTACTCTGCTTTTCTTTTCATTTTTTTTTCTCAGACAGGGTCTCAATATACTGTCTGGGCTGGCCTCAAACTCATAATCCTCCTGCCTCAGCCTGGTGACAGCTGAGATTACAGGCATGTATCACAGATATTTTATCAGATACACATATTTTTCTAAGCATTTAAATTTTCTATCCATATTTTCCTATAATTCTTCAGTTTGAAAAATAAAAGCATCACAGTCTTTTCAGTGGACTCTAGCCATATAAATCATATATTTACATAACATGTCAATGGAATTTGACCCTAATCTAATTAAAAAATAGAATATTACCCACTTTCAGGAAAGAAGTAATTTTAAGTAAGAACCCTGTTAGCCAGTGTTGTAGGCTGATAATTTGTCAACATCATAAATATGCATATTAATTTTTCAATCAAGAAAAATGTTTACTTCACAGTGTGAAGGCTGATTTGTGTTGCCTAGTAATCCCTCTGGGTTTAGCTGGCCAAATGAAGACCCTTAGAACCTGCTTACTAGATAAAAAATGATCTGAAACTCATCAATTTTGTTTGCATCCTAATTTGTTGAACAATTCTTCACTCTTTTACTCCATAAGCGAAATAAACACACTGGACTTCAAGCAAAATAAACACGCTGGACTTCTGTACACTATCAACTTACAAATAAAACTCATTTTCCTAATAATGTCAAGAAAACATTTCTTCAACTGATATATTTGAATGCACAGTGTTTTTCAAATTCATGCAACATGGGGATGAGCGTTTTACATTTGGCCATTTCACAAGCATCCCTCACAATAAGGCATCCAATGATATCCAGGTTGCAGCTGCTTCCTGAGCTGGGATTACTGCACACCAACCCTACTGAGTCTCTCTTACATCCAAGGCCTAGTAAGTGATAGTAAGACCAAAAATCAACATTTCAACTACTTTACAATATGCCTTCCGTTTGTAAAATAGCTCATTACATAAGATCCATTCTATTATTGAGGACACAGTATACTCTTGTGCAATTAAAGCCGTCTTTACCTTGAGGCAAAAACAGAGAGAGATAGAGAACAAATCTTGGCCAAAAAAGACTAGAATATTCAAAACAAGCAACATTTGTAAGGCAATAAAATGTTGAACAGTTTTGTGAGTAAAACTGTTTCTAAAATGTTTTACATTCCTCTGCCTTTTCAAACCAAGTATTCAAAGCAAGATCCAAATACTCCTTAACACTTAAAGAACAGTGATACATTTTTTACTAACCTGACACCCAGCGATGGTTCTTGAGGTACTGTTTGTCTCAAAATAAACTGGTCTAAGCCCTGCCAACTTTTGCTTTGCTAAGCCAAGAATGTATCCAGCTACTTCATGGGCCTGTTTTGCTTTTAACTGTGTATCCTAAGGACAGTCTTTTACCCACTTACCCTATACATATTTGTCATGTACCTACTATCTACAGCACAACAAACCGTGTAATGAATAAGACACTAATATAAGACAGAGCTTTCTGTTTGCTATTAGCCACACAGGGACTTTGGTTTGGTTTTGCCCTTTTCCTGGTAAATATTGTTGGTCAATATTACAGGCTTGCGGTATTTAAAAACTGAACAGTCTGTTTCTCTGTTACCTTTTATTTGTATTAACATACTGTGGGTAAAGGGTTAATAAAACCTTTACCTCCCTGCATAAAAGTCACCTCAACTCCTTCATTTTGATCCTCTGGTAACCCAGTAAGCATCATGTCACATATGTTTCTAAGCAATATTGTTTATGAGGCTCCCTGATGGTAATTTGCTACTGACAAGAGTGATAAATGAACAATGTGTGCCTGATAGAGAAGGGACCACACTCTGGACTTCCCAGGGCTAGGGGGTTTTGATCACTTGCAATTTAGAGTCTGTGTCCGTGGAATTATTGACTCTGTGAGGTTTGGGGCAGAAGCACTTACTCTGTACCAAAGTTAAAGAGAAAATGTATCTGACCTTTATGCTGATTCTAGTTCCTGGCGAGGGGGAGGGAAACATAGGACTGGGGCTGCCACTGCTCATGAATGGGTTCCCTGGCCCCTTCTCCCTGGCCACATCTCCCTGGCCACATCTCCCTGACCCCTTCTCCCTGACCCCTTCTCCCTGGCCCCTTCTCCCTGACCCCTTCTCCCTGGCCCCTTCTCCCTGACCCCTTCTCCCTGGCCCCTTCTCCCTGACCCCTTCTCCCTGGCCCCTTCTCCCTGACCCCTTCTCCCTGGCCCCTTCTCCCTGACCCCTTCTCCCTGGCCCCTTCTCCCTGACCCCTTCTCCCTGGCCCCTTCTCCCTGACCCCTTCTCCCTGGCCCCTTCTCCCTGACCCCTTCTCCCTGGCCCCTTCTCCCTGACCCCTTCTCCCTGGCCCCTTCTCCCTGACCCCTTCTCCCTGGCCCCTTCTCCCTGACCCCTTCTCCCTGGCCCCTTCTCCCTGACCCCTTCTCCCTGGCCCCTTCTCCCTGACCCCTTCTCCCTGGCCCCTTCTCCCTGACCCCTTCTCCCTGGCCCCTTCTCCCTGACCCCTTCTCCCTGGCCCCTTCTCCCTGACCCCTTCTCCCTGGCCCCTTCTCCCTGACCCCTTCTCCCTGGCCCCTTCTCCCTGACCCCTTCTCCCTGGCCCCTTCTCCCTGACCCCTTCTCCCTGGCCCCTTCTCCCTGACCCCTTCTCCCTGGCCCCTTCTCCCTGACCCCTTCTCCCTGGCCCCTTCTCCCTGACCCCTTCTCCCTGGCCCCTTCTCCCTGACCCCTTCTCCCTTATGGTGGTATGGCATTTGCATGCAACCCATACATATCCTCCAGGTGTGCTTTAAGCCATCCCTAGACCAGGAATGATACACATTATGAGGCCCACACCTCACCTCATTGGTGTGGATTCAGAAAGTACTCAGCATGTGGTAAATTGAAGTTTTGCTTTTTGTAACTTCCTGGAACTTTTTTCTCAAATCTCTTCTACCTGAGGTTACTTGCATATGAATTTTCTTATTTTTATTCTTTTTTTTTTTTGATCTCTTTGAGACAGGGTCCCCCTGTAGCCCCAGCTGAAGTGGCACTCACTATGTAGACCAGGCTGGCCTTGAACTCACAGAGATCTACCTGCCTCTGCCTCCCAAGTGCTGGGATTAAAGGCATGCACCGCCACTCCCAGCTTTGCATATGAACTTTTGAATAAAGAGGACCAACTGTATATAGCAGATGCCCATGTAACATTGCCCCAATTTTTACATTCTGTATGAAATGTGACAAATGCAGAATGCTGAATTGAGTGGGCCTGAAATTTGGTCCCAAGTTCATAAAGAGTAACTGGCTACAAAAAACCCTTTTCAAGGATGGCACCCACTTCACAAGCACTCCACACTTAAAACACTGCAAGAGCTGTCAGTCTTGGAAAGCAGAAGTTCACTTGGACATGTCAGTCATTAAAACTGAAGGATGTTTTTTGTAATAGAACTATGTGATTAGAAATTGCCTTCATCTTCCAAAAGCCTTCCTAATCCAATACAATAAAGAGTTGTGTTCCTGCTCATAGCATCCAATGAACAGCTGCAAACCTATGGTCACAAAGATGGCCCTAGTTAAACCCACTGGATCACAAAACAAAACAAAAAGACATGAATCTGGAGAAATGGACTTGTTGGTAGGGGGGTTGATAAGAGATGGGAGGGAGATCCTTGTGGGGTAAGAGAAATCAAAATGCATTTTATGCATATATATAAATTATATATATATGTATAAAATGTGAAATTGTCAATGAATATAATAAAAGTCAAATATACTAAAAATTTTAAATATGTGAACATAGTATCTAAATAATGCATGAGCCAGTGAAAGTCAAATGCTTGGGGAAACAACTCTTAAAAGCTGATGAAGCAGAAGTTTGCTGTCACTGACTGCTAAAACCTCCCAAGGGCTTGAAAGGTGAGCTTTTTCCTAATAGCAGAAGGAAGATTTTTGCCCTCACATAAAAAAAAGAACTCTCTAATAACAACTACCCAAGATTAAAATGATGGTTTGAGAGTTAATGGAGATTGTTCCAGGAATCAAAGGAAGTGAGTGGCTCCATCACGTGGATCCCTCTGAATGCTGAAAAATCTATGAGTAGCAGGATTTAGTTAAAGCTGTCTTGCAATTAATCTTTGTTGAGAACTTGAGTGTATAGTATTTGTGAAATAACCAAATGTACTTTGATTCACAGAACTCAGTAAGAAAAAAAAGGAAGCCAAAAAGACAGGATAATTTTGAAGGATTTGGAAGAAAAGCAGGGAAAAAAAGAGGAAAAGACAGAATATGGGGACAGTGTTTTCTTAGAACAATTATGACTTTTTTTTAAATTATTTTATTTTTATTTTATGTGAATGAGTATATTGCCTGCGTGTATGTGAGAGCATCTGTGTAGTAGTGTCTGTGGAGGTCAGAAGAGGATGTCGGATCTCCTGGAACTGGAGTTACAGACAGTTGTTAGCTGCCATGTGGGTGCTGGGAATCAATACAGGGTCTTCTGCAAGAACAGCCAGTGTTCTTAATCACTGAGACATCTCTCCAGCCCTATGTCAAGTTTATCTTTTTTTTCTTATTTGACTTATTTATTTTTATGGGGATTTTGGCTACTAACATTCCCCCCTCTGAAGAGGTAACCTAAAATCTTTTAAGGATTAGATAAACGCTCCCAAATATTTTCGACATTTTTGGCCTTGGAACAGAGTATG